GTTCGCTCCTCAGCATCTGCAGAGGCAGTTAGAATCTTAGCTACGCGGTTATCACACATCGTCCCACGGTCCTGCTTCCGAGCGTCGGGTGGGTCGCACTGTCTGTGGTCAAGGTGATGGTCATGGTCACACTGAGGTACTTAGGTACAGCCGAGCCTGCCAGATTAGTGGGTGTCATCTCCACTGAGAGGAGTGGGCAAAGTCATTGTTAGACCGCAGGACCATTTAGAATTTGGAACATTTTAAATTGTGTCTTAAAACCGATGCAGGTGAGAAAACCTCAGCCTTCAGGTCGGGCAGAGGTGGCTTCGTGGACGTGGAACCCGCAGAGTCACAGGGGACCTCGGACCCAGAAGTGCCTTATGTTTGGTTTACTGTTCTGTTGTCACCAGCTTGAAATCCTTAATCATTTTTTTAAACGAGGGGCCTTGCATTTCCATGTTCGTCTGGGCCCCGCAAATTATGTAGCCACTCCTGAGGGTGGGATTGACTTTTTTTTTTTTTTTTGAACAAAGTCCAGTCTTTCTTCAGAATGGGGTAAAGAAGGGACTTAGAGATTCTTTCAGCCAGACGATCAGTCTATTTCCAAAGGATTGGCTATTGCAAGCATCAAACAGTAGAAGATAAGACAACTGCTGTGTATTCCATTCTCGGTTACTTTGTTCCTCATACAGGATTAGAAAAAGGGCAGAGAATGCCTAAATTATCATAGAGAAGCAAATAATGTGATTGGCAAATACTCATCTTTTATATATTTGGTCTTGGTGTCCATTTGTTTAAGTAATTACTCTCTTTAAGAAGGTTTTGTGAGCTGATGTTAAAGTAAATTCTAAAGTGAGCTTTCTGCTGGTTTATACAAATACTGTCCTTCAGCCTACGTGATGACACAGAGAACTCCCCTGTGACCTTACAGATACACAGACGTTATAGTGAAGCCGTGAGTCATCTGATTTTTTTTAAAGTTGAGAGTCTTATTCATTTGTGCATTCAATGAATGCATTAATATGTCCAACAAAAAAATATAAACAATATGTCCTGTAGGCCATTGGCTATAGAACTATACTAGTAATATGACAGTAACCAGCTACGACATATGTTATGAGTTAGTCATTTAAAGTTGCATAATTTTGTGCACATTTACAGTAAATCGTGGGAGTTATTTCTCTTCTTGACGTGGCTGCATAAGTAAGCTTCTTTTATCACCTTGATAGTATGAAATGGAGTAGTTGCCTTCTTGCTATTAACTACTTTTAGCGCAGACGTTTTACTTTTCAGAGGATCTTTACATATTTTTGCTTCACCTAAGGGAAGGAAGGTGGGAAACTCAATATGAAAGTTTGTCCTTGGGCTTCCCTGGTGGCGCAGTGGTTGAGAGTCCGCCTGCCGATGCAGCGGACGCGGGTTCGTGCCCCGGTCCGGGAGGATCCCACGTACCGCGGAGCGGCTGGGCCCGTGAGTCATGGCCGCTGAGCCTGCGCGTCCGGAGCCTGTGCTCCGTAACGGGAGAGGCCACAGCAGTGAGAGGCCCGCGTACCGCAAAAAAAAAAAAAAAAAAGTTTGTTCTTTTGGGGGGAATAGAAATCCTCAAAGAAAAGAAATTCTATTGTTCTTTTGTGGCTTCTTGGCAGGAATCATCACCAAAATACTTTATTAATTAAGTAACAGCTACACAGTCTCCTCAGGCAGTCACGTGATCCCCTTCCCCCAGGTTCACAGGAACATTTGATTTCCCTTGGCAGGTTACACGACACTTCGTTTTTAACCTCTGAAGTAACCGTATTATTTTTAAGCGTGGATGTGTCCATCTCCTCCGCTAGAGAATACGGCTTCTTCTCATCCCTAGAGAGCCATGATCATGGAAATCCAAAGAGATGATGGCGGCTTAGACCAAGGAAGCAGCAGTAGCAATAGATAAAGTGAGACGTGGTCAGATTTGAGTAATATTGGAAGTAAAGATAACACCATTTCTTGGTCGATTAGGCGTGGGGTGTGAGGAAAAGAGAGGAGATCAACTTTCTATGTTAGCCTGAACAGCTAGGAGGATTGGGTTGCCATTTTGTGAGACTGGGAAGAACAGCCTTTCAGAGAACAGGGTGGAAAATCCCGAGTTCGTTGTTAGACTTTGTTATACCTTTTAAACGTTCAAGTAGAGATGCTCAGTAGACAGTTAACTCTTCGAATGTGGAGGTCCAAGGATGGGCTTCATTTATAGCTGTCCCATATGGTAGCCACTACTCACACGGGGTTCTTTAAGTTTAGATTTAGATGAAATTAAACGTAACGTTTTACCCTTCAATCACAATGTATACTACGGCTCAAGAGCCACATGTGGCTTGTGGCTGCCGTATGGACCAACACAGGTTTATAGTGTAATACTTGTCATCATTGCAGAAAGTGCTACTGGAAAGCGCTGCTGTAGAGTTACGAATTTGGGAGTGGTCAACCTGTAGATTGCACTTAAACTACAGGACTGGATGAGATCACCTGAGGGGGGAGGATAGAAAAACAAGAGGTCGAGAGGTTGGAAGTCAATCTGACATTGAATCATTAGGAAATAAGGATTCAGCAAAAGAAACTAGGAATGAAGGTCAGTCGGTCACTAAGGGAGGAGAAGAACTGAAATGATGGGTTTCTAATAGTGAGAACAGGAGGAAGTGATCAGCTATGTCCAGTGCTTGATGATTGGTTGAGTAAGACAAAGCCGTTGACTGTTGGAAATGACAAGGTGCCCTTGAAAGAGAGGTTTCAGTGATGTGGTGGGGAGGGATGCCTGAGAAGGAGGGACCACGGGAGAATGAGGGATACGCGGAGATCCAAAGTCAAGGCGACTCTTAGAGGGATTTTTGCTACAAAGGGAAACAGTGAATGTGAGCTGGAAGTGTACGTAGAGATGAGATCATTTTTTTCGTCTTGAGATGAGGGATATAATAGCATGTTCATGTGCTTATCGAATGATCCAATAGACAGGGACATTTCAATAAGGTTCAAGAGAGAGGGGACGACACTAGCAGCGATGCCCTTAAGTAGGTGAGGGAAGATGGGATCCAGGGCAATAGTGGACAGCCCGGCTGAGCATCCTGGGTAACAGAAGGAGAGGAGGAATGTGTGGGTCCAGACGCAGAAACACAGTTGACGGGAGAGATTGCCTACGTTCTCTACACCTGAAAGTAACACAACATTGTAAATCAACTATACTCCAAGAAAAAAAAAAAAAAGAGAGGATCAGGAAGGGAGGCAAATAATGTGATAATGTGTTTGCCTAAACCAAAAACAAGGTGATATCCAGACACAGAAAACAAACTTACGGTTACCAAAGGGGAAAGGGTCGGGAGGAGGTATAAATCAGGAGCTTGGGATGAACAGATACACACTACTATATATAAAATAGATGAACAACAAGGCCCTACTGTATAGTACAGGGGACTCTATTCGATATCTTTTTTTTTTTTTTTTTTTGCGGTATGCAGGCCTCTCACCGCTGTGGCCTCTCCCGCTGCGGAGCACAGGCTCCGGACGCGCAGGCTCAGTGGCCACAGCTCACGAACCCAGCCGCTCCGCGGCACGTGGGATCTTCCCGGACTGGGGCACGAACCCGTGTCCCCTGCATCGGCAGGCGGACTCCCAACCACTGCGCCACCAGGAAAGCCCTATTCAATATCTTGTAATAACCTGTGATGGAAAAGAATTTGAAAAAGAATATATATACATACACACATATGCGCGCACACACGCACATAGATACACACACACCTATAACAGAATCACTTTGCTACACCTGAAAGTAACACAACATTGTAAATCAACTATACTCCAAGAAAAAAAAAAAGTGGTATCTTACAGTCTTTAGGCACATTTTGTTGGAGGGCCGAAATTCTATTTTAATTTCATTCACCAGTCACCTGTGTGACCTTGCACAAGTTCATGCTTCTCAGTTTTCTTTTTTTTTTTCGATGAAAAAATAGACACCTACATTATAGAGTTGTTAGAAGACTCTTGAAATAATGCATAGAAAAAGCCCGGCAGCGTGTCTGACACCTGGGAAGTGCCTGATAGTGTCAGATTTATCCCAAGTCCTTGCCCTTTTGAGGTCAGATCCATTCCAGTATATATATTACCAACCACGACGTCTGATCGTATTTCTTTTTGTCTTATCTGCTCATCCTGGTACGCAGTTAACAGACACCTACTCTTTGGGCAGATTCTCTTTGGAAATCCTATTGGGAATCTGCCTGGATTCTAAGGTTGATGATAGGGATTCTAAGTGGGGTGTTCTAAGGTTTTCTGTGTACTTCCCTTGTGTCTAGCATCTACTGGCATCCAGGAGAGGGATTATAAGTTGTGGGCCAGGATAAATCATAAAAGTCTATATACGCTGATTCAATCTCAGCCGTTATCTCTGGAGCACCACCATGACTAGAATCTCTCTGCGAGAGTTGTTGAACTGTCTGGTGTCATACCTAAAATAATAGAACAAAGATATATGGGCCAGAGGTTTGAGACCCTAGTGGGGGAAAAGACATTTCAACATCCCAAACCTGGGAGGTTCCACATATATCTTCCCAATATTCAATATGAGAATGATTTCTGCTGAGAGAGTTATGCCTGTTTTGAGAGTTAGCATATTTTAGTATCATGCTAGGCTTTCAAGTTTAAAGTGAAGGTTGAGACCTCATAGTATAACCTCTCCTTCAACATAAGGTAAAAATCTATCTTCTTGCCTTATTCATTGGATGTGCCTAGAACTGAGGGTTGTGGGCTTATAGCAATGTCCTGTTTCCCTACTGTCTTTCTAAATCCCAGTTCTGATGCTCTAGAGGTACACAGTTTAAAGTGTCATGGGCAAACTTTAAATCAACATAAAACCTACTTGGGAACAATGATGTGAACCGGCTTTGAGGTCAAAATGGCATGCAAATATCTCTAAAATGTTCAGTGAGATTTCTGGAATTCCAGGGTCTGACCTGTATCTTGATCTCTGATTTGTATCTTACACTGTCCAGATTCTGATGCAAGGCAAAAATCCGGGGATATCTTGGAAGTATGCACTTCCCCAGGTCGTGAATGGAACTCAGCCAGCCTCAGAAAGACACAGCCACACCTGGAGCACAGTGCAGTCAGATTGCTCCTTCTCCTGTGGTGGAGGTAGTTGATTTTCTCACCGTCTTCCACGTCTCTCCTCAAACAGGGTCTTTCACTGGTTTGCAGGGTAGAAATAGAGACATAGTTGTAGAGCACAAACATGGACATCACGGGGGGAATAGTGGCGGGCAGGGGTGGTGGTGGGATGAATTGGGAGATTGGGATTGACATATATACACTATTATGTATAAAATAGATAACTAATAAGAACCTGCTGTATAAAAAAATTAAATTCAAAAAAACATTACAGCAACAGAAAAAAAAATGAAATTATGTTCTTCTACTTCAAAGTCATCCATGGTTCCTCTTTGCACTTGGATGAAACCCATGCTCCTCGTTGTGGCCCACTGGACCCCGTGTGGTCTGGCCCCCGCCTCAGTTTCCTTTTGTAGAACCCCCCCTTACCTGCCCTGTTTTTTTTAAAAAAAAAAAAAAACAAAAAAAAAACAGGTTCTTTCACTCCAGACGTCTTTCCACTGTATGGTTTAAATAAGCAACAAAAGAACTATCTCTATGGGAACTGTCACTGTAAGAAAAAAAAAAAAAAGCAAATATTATGTGTACTCTTAGGGGATTTTCCTAGGTAGAAAGGAACCCACTCACACAAATCTCAAGTCAGCCACAAACAGGACTCAAGAGTTACGCATCTGAAACTTACAAGGGGGGGAAATAGAAAATATGTGTCCATTTCTTATAAGGATTGAGTCATTGATGGATTTTTCAGCTCACAGCTTCCTGTCTTTCTGTCCTGACTTTTCTGTTGTTGTCAGCCTCCCAGTGGGACTTAGAGAAGGTAGGGGCAAGACAGTGAAAACACACGCAAGGCAGACTTAAGACAGCGATCTGACACGTGGAAGCAGTGGCATTCCAGCCCCGCAGGGAAATGGATTAAATCCGAGAAATAACCCTTGTAAGGAAGGGAAAAACCACAGCCATCCTCTGAGTGCGTAGACGGGAGGCATTTTATTTAGGTCCCAAAATATCACATATTGGTTGGTAAGTCAGTCTTTGTCACACTTGCCCTTTGGGAAGAAGAATGAGTCCATAAATGAGTCCATGAAACCAAAGCATGAAGGTTGGTCCCTCACTTCCTCATGCTCAGAGCACCTGGTGACAGTGGGTCTCCCTACTGTGTCCATCCCACTGAGCAAAATGGGGCATCTTGGGACCAGAAACAGAGCTGAAATACAGAAAGTGAAGAAATTCTGTCTTCAGCTGCCCATGCTAGTTAACAAAATATGAAGAAATACTTCTTTTTAAAAATATATATGAAATAATTAAAAGGGAATATATTTTTTATTAATACACATTTTAAAAGCAATATGCTATAAAGAAGAAAATAATCTCCCATAATCTTTTAATCAGCAATAGCCAGTGTTAATACTTTGGTCTATATCGTATTCTTTTTCTTAAGCAAACATAAAAACACGTGTTTCACATACTCAGACACACGCCACACATGTATCATTTTATGTTCTTTTTTTTCTTTTTTTAACAGAACAGAAACCATAATCTTTATGCTGTTTTTCACGTAGTCTTCGAGCATGAGCAGTTGTTCATGTATCAAATGCTCTTTGAGATCATTCGCGATAACTTCCTGGTATTCCAGAGAGAGCACAGGTTCCTTGGGAAAGAGAGAGAGTCAATCCATTTTCCATTTACAGGGACTAAATACAACCAAGGGGAGGATGCTGGACAAGTGCATTATGGGATTCTCCTTTGCCTTGAGTTAGCAACACCTTCGTGTGACTCACAGACCATAGCATGTCGGAAGTCTAAGAGAAGACAAGTCCAAATGAATACGTTCTCCAGAAGCAAACTCTTGACTTTAGGGAGTCCCAATATTTTGATCAGTTCCTCCTGAAAGCAGACCCCCTTCAACCTAATCATTCTAGCGGGAGTGACTCTTCACTGTTGCTCAGATTCCATTTTAAGGAAAAGTCCATGTGAATAAAGACAGTTGAAAGAGGGGGCAGCATTCCTATGTGGGGAGCTGACAAATACAGTTAATCACACACAAAATAAAGTGTATCTTGATGAGAGGTCCTGAAATGAATATCGAAAACAAGGCAGTGGGGTGAACAGACAGAAACAAAAAACCAGAGTCCTTGCGGACAAGTATGAACACATATTCAGTGAGTTCAACTTTTTGTTTATATGCGCACATACTCAGGCAAGTGTAGAAGATGCTTCATGAAAAAGCAAACTCTTAGAGTTTCCACACAGAATTCCCCCAAGATTTTTCTTTGCAGAACATTTTCCATTAGATATGTGCAGTGTGAGTTAAAGCTTCTGGGATACTTCCCTCAAACAGATATTGCCCCGTTTTCAAAATTGTTTTCAATTTCAAAATATTGCTCTGTCTTTACCATATCGTTCTAGAATCCATGGCAGTCCTGAAAACTAAGACGCTACTTGTTAAAAAGTATTAAAATATGAAAACTGTTGGGGGGGCGTGGCATGAGGGTGGAATTCACATGAGTTGTAGATTTTATCAGAAGGAAGTGTTTTCGTACAATATTTAGGTTCTGTATCTTCAGTAAATTATCAGAACCCTGGTAAACCCGAAGCTACACTTGGAAACTTAAGCGGAATTGGTTACCTGCAGTTTTCACTTTGTAACTTCTCATGTCTTATTAGGTTACATAAGTGTCAAGGCCATTTGCTTACGGGATCAAAACACTCAAGTCAATTCCTCATTCTGCAATGCGAGAGCCAAGCCAGCAACTGAACCCAAAATGTGCAATGCCTTCTCCTGCCCTGCCTAGTAAGTCATCTGGAAATGTCTTTCTGGTTGCATCTGTACTTGTGTGCCTTTATTGTTGATAGGAGATGGTTGAAGCCACTGTCGATGCCTCTGATCCAAAGTGATTCAAAAAAAAAAAAAAGTGATTCAAAGATAGACAGAATACCCCCCGCCCCACCCCACCCCCAAAAAAAGTCAATATAAGAAAGGAGATGAGAGTTGCAGTTAAAATATATAACTTGAAAAACACAAATTTGCTTCAGACACTCAGACTCTGGCTATGCCAGCTTAAGCTTGGGGTAAAAAAAAGGCATAAAGGCATCTTTTTTCAACCTTTTCATAGAGACCCCTCTTCTCTGAACTAAAACAGATATTTAAATAACACAGAATCGTATGTTAGTTAAATTTCTATGTGGTTGTATGCTTAACGTTTAGAGAGTCATCCAAGATTTTAAAAATCATATTACTCTGCAACCCATGAAAGCCCAAATGCAAATTACACAGTAGCAAGACACAAAGTTAAAAGGAAGGGTGTAGAGCCCAAGTGGTAACCCCATTTTTGATGAAGAGACACGGTGGGGAGCCCAGTGGGTTTGCTTTTGGATTGATTGGAGCCACACTACTATTTGAACGCTAATTTTAACTAATGTTCCCAGCCAAATGGAGTCTCTTCTTGTTTGATTTATCTTCTGCCAAATGTATTTATATAGAGTTGACAGGGTTTCTTCTGCAGCACCGTTGTGTTCCCTGCTGTTTCCGATCATCTTAATAAGTAGTGTTTGCTTTGTGGTGATGCGATTATATTGTACAGTCTTTTTATATACATACATATTTTTTTCCCTATAAATAGTGTATTTGTCATAATCGTTTGGGGCTTCAGCTCCCCACCAACCCCTAGGCCCAATTGTCAACCGTTTTTCCCTTAGAGTTTGGAACCAGCTGTATCCTGAACACAAAAAGGAGAAAGACATGTGGGGGGCTTCCATGGAATTTTCTCTCTTGCTAAGAAATGTCTGGCTCTAAAAATATCCCGTGGCTCTAAGACGTGATAACCAGACAGTGTTACTGATCCTTGTGGAATAATCTCTCCCTTAGATGGGGAGGTGTGTGCGCGCATGTGTGTGTACGTTTAGGTACGTGTAGGGATTGTCAGTACACTTGAATGTAAGCTAATGTTTTCTTATTTTAAGCCTCCTTTCCATCATTGTTTATCTCCGCCAAGAAAAGAAAGAAACCCCATTCGTATGTACCTCCATGAAAAGGGAGAGAGAGCGTTAGTCATGCTTAACTCCCAGAACTTTCCTGATAGCTCCACGTAGAAATGATATTCTGTGCAGTAACAAGTTTGCTGGCTCTTTAAAAGCAGAACAGCCCCTGCAGTGACTCTGCAGAGTTGGAGTGAAATGGGCAGTGTCTTTTGTTTCTTTTCCCTTTTATGCCACCCTATTTTTTTTTTTTTTTTTTTTTTTTTGGCCTCGCAGTGAGAGGCATGCAGGATCTTAGTTCCCTGACTGGGGATCAAACCTGCGAAGTCCTAACAACTGGACTTCCAGGGAATTCCCTGCAACCCTATTATTTATCTCAGTATTTCCTGTTGAATAATGGGACCTTTTAGGGACTATTCTTCTGCAGAGATATACTAGAAATAAGGGCTTAGACTATTAGAGCTCTAAGGACAAAGGAGTTCATCTGATCTAACTCCATTATTTTCCCATGTAATGACCATGTTATATGTCCTACGGTACGCCAGGCCCTCAGCTGAGGACTGGAAGATGGAGATGAATAGCTTGTATTTCCTGCCATCAATGAACCCACCATCGAATGGAAGAGCTGGATGTGTAAACAGATAATTGAGATGCAGTGAGATACGTGCTATAAAAATGATAAATATAAAAAAGCAGTAAGGGGACTTCGCTGGTGGTCCAGCGGTTAGGACTCTGCACGAGGCACAAGACACGGCCAAAAAAAGAAAAAAAGGCAATAAGGGAGAAAATGGAAAGTAGAGGAATCAGGTCTGCGAGGTCGGGGTTGATTAAAACTAATAATTTCATGATAATATATATCTTTTCTTTGCATCTTACTGTAAGAGAAAATGATTATACAAATACAAGGAGTTCTTTTATTTGGTATCATCTCTTTAACTAAGATAACATGGATTATGCAATGTTTTAGAATCCTAGAACTCATGTGCTAAATTCTCTGGACTAACAGAAAGGCCTTTAACCTCGCACCTCAGGCTTGAGGGGGGCAGGGGAAACCAGAGCAAATATCCTAGGACTAGGAAGATGCAGAAATGCAGACGTGTAACAAACACACATTTGGTCTCGGTGATGTTTTTATGCTTTCAAATGATACTTAGAAGATTTGTAAACCAAGAGCAGTTTTAGACATTGATGCTTTGAAACGTATCGTGATCCTATCTGGTGGATCTTTTTAATGCGAGGCCTTCGAATCAGAGAATTTCAATTAATCACAGCCAGTTGTTGACAAGGATTCTTGGTTGCAGGTGACCATTCTTCAGTGTACACCAAGTCTCAGACAGCTGTGAAAAAAAAAGTAGCGACCTGGCAATCTTTAAATAAAGAATTCGAGATTATATCTCTAACCCATCAGTAAAGTTCAAGGCTAACCAGAAAAAGTTATTTCTAAGTAGGGAACCACCTACTTAGAAATAGTCTTTGTAAGACCCTCTCCGAATGTGCCCCTCTCTCTTTCAGATGCTTGCACGCACGCACACACACACACCCCTCTCTCTTCCCCTCACTGAACCCTTGTTTCATTAGTCTCATTATTGTACTTTTATTAACTTCTTTGTAGCAATTATCAGCAAGTATCTTCTTTATTTGTCCACATAGCCACCTCTTCCATAAGCTTCTTAATGGGAAAAGCATTGTTTCATCCGTCTTTTCCAACCCTAATGCCTAGGAGATCCCGTGGCGCAGGGTTTAAGATCACAACTGGCTGAACGAATGAATCGCTCACACTTCCAGATGGCCCATGTTTCTTTGCCTGCAGAGGACAGGAACGTATTTTTCCCCCGAATCACGTGGTGATTCCATGTGATTCCCTACAAATGGACCACACTCACGTAGGCTTGAAAATCTATAAAAGCAGAATCAGTATGAATTGGCCATATTGGTTCTACAGTTGACCTTAGACTTTCATCAGGTGGTTAATCTTTCACAGTAACTGCTTTGGAATTGATGATCCTTAGTCTTAGCTTCACCAGAAGTAATTCTGTCTTTCACTGAAAGCTGGAAGCCAGGTGAATGGAGCGTGTGCAGCCGGTCATGTGCGGGGGGCCAGCAGAGCCGGAAGGTCCAGTGTGTCCAGAAGAAGCCCTTCCAAAAGGAGGAAGCGGTGTTGCATTCTCTCTGCCCAGTGAGCACACCCACTCAGGTTCAAGTCTGCAACAGCCATGCCTGCCCTCCAGAATGGAGCCCTGGGCCCTGGTCTCAGGTAAGTGGCAAAGGCTTGGAGTCATTGGATTCATTCCCCTTGGAAAAGGAAGGTGACAAAAATATGGGTGGTATCTTTTTTACCCTAAGAGTGTCTCAGCTGTTGGTACGTTTGTGGGAATCACACTGAGTTAATGGGAAATGGGGCATTTGAATGAGCATTTGTAGCGATGCTTATGCAGCCGGAAGTGTGAGACCCCCCTGTACGACAGCTTAGAATACTTCAAAGTCTGATCTCCTAAAAAAATTAGAATATGGAGGCCATTTAGGCTAGACTAGTGAGTGTTGGAGGATTGGCAGATGAAACTGGCTACTGAATTCTCCAAAGCAAACGGAAAATAGCAAGAACTAGGCATAGAAACGTAGAACTAGGCATCATCTTGCTTCAATGATAAGAGGTGCGGTTATTAGGCTACAGAGAGGAGTTGGGCGTGAAGTTGGCTCTTGCCACGAGCTCCCAATGAAAGGTACAAACTCATGAAGTTGGAAGAGCCCTAGAACTACCTGACTTTCACAACTCAGAGGGTCTCAGCTGGGGGCAGTTTGCCCCCCAGGGGAATTTGGCCGTGGAGACATTTTGATCGTCGCAGCTCTGGAGGATGGTGCTACTGGCATCTGGTTGGTAGAGGGAAACATCCTACAAGGCACAGGGCATTGTAAAAAATGTCTGGCCCCCCAACATTATCTGGTCCAAAATGTGCCAAGAACCCTGGTACACGGCATCCTTGCAGGTGAGAGCCCAGCCTCTGCCCAACCATGGATGGCAAGCAGAGGTTTCATCACCTGGACTATGAAGCCAGGTAGGAGCCCCTGGCCACATTTCTACCGAGTTTCCACATAGGGTGCATTACATCCTGGACAGTATTGATTTCGGATGCAGTTTAGCCTTGCACCCTTACACCCCCTTTTATTTCACAGCTAAAACCAAATATGTCCTTTTGAGAACTTACTCAGTATGAAAGGGGTCCTTCAGAACTGTGATAGCCACCAGTTCTTCCATTAGAGACCATGGCTCTGGAAACCATTTGGGAAGCAATTTAAACATTTTACCATGCTGGAAAAAAATCGCGATAAATAAGAATTCTATTGAATAAGAATTTAACTACTTGGATGTTATGAACATGAATGAGAGATGTTTAGGGGTGCAGAGCCCTGGTCTGATATCAGACGAATTTGCCCATCTCCACAACTTGGCAGACGGTCGATTCATCTTGGTCAAGGTACCTAAGCTCTGTGACTCTCAGACACCTCCTTTGTAAAATGGGATAATAGCAGTTATCTCATAGGCTGTTTAGAGGGTCATGTGATATAGGCCCTGGTATACACTAAGGTATATCACCGTGCACAGAAGGCATTCAATAAACACTCTCTGCTGTGGTTTGCAGAGAGACGATTATTATGATATCATCATCATTATCCTGTCTCCATCTCCCTTAGAAATAGGAAGAATGAGAATTCCCACCGGTCCTCTGAGCAGGCTTGGAACGGTGCCCCAGATGTTTGCAAACTCACAGACAGCCAAGACAAGTGGGACCACATCTCATGCGGCCCTTCTGAGAGGCCAACAAGAAGACTGTAAAGGCCAGGGAGGGGACACGTCCCTTGGGGGCACACCCCAGCCTGGGGCCAAAGTCTTCTAAGTGATCTTGGCAACTTGTGAAGTACAAATCTGAAAGCCAGGAGATGATTTGCCGCCTTACATATTTCACAGTGCTTGTGAAGTCAGGACAGTAAGAGTAGAAGAGTATGAGACCACCGTGCACAGTTACCTCCAAATATTTGACGAGTGTCGACTTAGTTTTTCCCCAAGAGTTAGCACAGTGCCCCGCCTAGAAACAGCAGATGTTAGGGGCAGGAATTGGACACTCCCAGCCCATTTTCATAAATGTCACGGTCTGTTGCCGTCCCTATTGTACATATTATACTTTGCTATTATTCTCCTTGTCCAAAGCACTGACGGTCCTCTTTCACCAATGCCCAGATTGACTCTGCCTTGTGCCAGAGAGAGATACAGTTACATCCATGAATAGGCCCTGTACCATTTTCCAAATTGTTATCATGTGTGCTGTACACAGAACCCCTCTCTTCTCCATTAAGAATAAAACTTGTCTTCAGACCTGGGGCAACACAGCAACCCCTGGGCATTCAGAATGTTGAAAGGGAACAGTAATCTGTACTTAGAGGCTCTGGAGGGAGGAAAGATTTATTCTGCTGGCTGCAAGGGATTTTATTGGGCATTTGGTTCTAGTGCTTAAAAATTGCTCTGTAAACCCTTCATTAATACATTCGTCTGGAAGACAGTCTTTTGAGACTAGCATGTACATGCCTTTTTTTAAATCTCAAGTGTTCTAAGACCTGTGGACGAGGGGTGAGGAGACGTGAAGTCCTGTGTAAAAGTTCTGCCACGGTAGAGGACGTCCCTGAGAGCTTGTGTGCCAGCAGCCCGAGACCAGAATCGCAGGAGGGCTGCGTCCTAGGACGATGTCCCAAGAACAGTCGGCTCCAGTGGGTCGTCTCTTCGTGGAGTGAGGTATGAGTTTAGATGTAGTGCTGGGTTTTGTTGGGAATGCTCAGCTCATCCCCCAGCATCCACTCAGTGCTCCTCTCTGTTCCACACGTGTATACCAAGTGGCTGCTTACTATTCATTCTTCCCTGCTGATTTCTTCCTCGCATATTAATAAAGCACCCATCACACTGACTGGGCAGTGCCTGGGCCGTGGAGGTACCAAACCGTACGTATAAAGCATGTGTATAAAAATACAGGTGGGACTTCCCTGGCGGCGCAGTGGTTGGGAATCCGCCTGCCAATGCAGGGGACGCGGGCTCGAGCCCTGGTCCGGGAAGATCCCATGTGCCGCGGAGCAACTAAAAGCCCGTGCGCCACAACTACTGAGCCTGCGCTCTAGAGCCTGCTAGCCGCAACTAGAGAAAGCCAAGGCACAGCAACGAAGACCCAACGCAGCCAAAAATGAATAATTTATATAAATAAAAAAAAAATACAGGTAAGGTAAGCGGAGTGCTGTGGTAGAGGTCTGTGATCCCACGGGAGAGCCTGAGGTCCACCCAACCCCCGCGTCAGGAGGAGACCTTGGCAGAAGCGACTTTCCAGGGAGTGAGAGCCTGAGGGATGAGCAGGAATCAGGCAAAGCCAGGGCCAGGGCTGTTCAGACAGAGGGTGCACCCTACGCAAGGGAGAGACTGGAGAATATAACGCAGTCAGGGCGGAACTGGGCAGGGGGTCGGGGTGGAAGCTGGAGGTTTCATCAGGCACAGCTCGTGAGGGCCGGGGGTGGCGGGCTACAAATATATCCTATAAAGGTTGGGGAGCTATTTAAAATTTTAAATAAAGCAGTGGAACAATCAGGTTTTCATCTCAGACAGAGGGGAACCCAAAGCCAGAGGCAGGAAAGCCGCTTGCCTGGATGTTGCAGTGATGAAAGATGAAAGTTTTCCAGGGATGGCAGGAAGCAGGGTCTTTGAGAGTTCCTAAAGAAGCCGGCTGGTACCTTCAGGCATATGTTGGGTAGGGGAGAGGGAAGATTTAAAGATGCCCCCCAGACTTCTAGCTTGGGAAAATCCTTTGAGTTCACAGGCATAGGAAACATGAGAAAAGACGCCAAACCGCAAGTGTCCATCAGAAACACGTAAGGCGAGGTCTCTGCTCTTATGGAGTCCACCGTCTGGTGAGCAACACAGATGCCCAGAAAGAGAAAAGTCACTAGTGGGGATGGTGAGGTCCAGTAGTGGAGGGGCTTCTATCCCAACAGCCTCTGGGTCTTTTCCATCAATGCCCTTTCATTCTATGTAGATGACAAGTATTGAGCAACACATCCGCCTCTCTCCTCCTCGCTCATTTTCTTTAAGAGACATTATAACCTAATGGCTAAAGGCATGGGCTTGAATCAGACTTAGTGCATTAAAAAGCGGTCTTCAGTGATTACTACAGGTGTGACCTTGGGCTAAGCCTCATTTTCCTCCTTGGCACCTTGGAGCCAACACTTGCACCTCCCTCCCTCATAGAGCTGCTGTAAGTATAAGCTCAGTGTTATCCTTTATCATTTATTTATTTTATCTTTATTGAAGTAGAGTTGATTTACAGTGTTGTGCTAATTTCTGCTGTACAGCAAAGTGACTCAGTTATACACATGTATACATTCTTTTCTATATTCTTTTCCATTATGGTTTATCCCTGGAGATTGGATATAGTTCCCTTGTAGGGAACTATAGGACCTTGTAGTTTATCCATTCTAAATGTAGTAATTTGCATCTACTAACCCCAAACTCCCAATCCATCCCTCTCCCTCCACCCCTCCGTTTTGGCAACCACAAGTTTGTTCACTATGTCTGTGTGTCTGTTTCTGTTTCATAGATATGTTCATTTGTGTCATATCTTACATTCCACATATAAGTGATACCATATGGTATTTGTCTTTCTCCTTCTGACTTATTTCACTTAGTATGATAATCTCTAGTTCCATCCATGTTGCTGCAAATGCCTGCACCAACTTACATTCCCACCAACAGGGCAGGAGTGTTCCCTTTTCTCCACACCCTCTCCAGCATTTGTTATTTGTAGACTTTTTAATAATGGCCATCTGACCAGTGTGAGGCGGTACCTCACTGTAGTTTTGATTTGCATTTCCCTAATAATTAGTGATGTTGAGCATCGCTTCACGTGCCTATTGGCCATTTGTACGCCTTCTTTGGAGAAATGATTATTTAGGTCTTCTGCCCATTTTTCAATTGGGTTGTTTTTTCTGTTGTTAAGTTGTATGAGCTGTTTGTATATTTTGGAGATTAAGCCCTTGTTGGTTGCATCATTTGCAAAAGTTTTCTCCCGTTCCACAGGTTTTCAGTTTTTTTATGGTTTCCTTTGCTGTGAAAAACCTTGTAAGTTTGATTGGGTCCCACTTGTTTATTTTTGTTTTTATTTCTATTGCCTTGGGAAGCTGACCTAAGAAAACACCGGTATGATTTATGTCAGAGAATGTTTTGCCTATGCTCTCTTCTACGAGTTTTACAGTGTCATATTGTAAGTTTAAGTCTTTAAGGCATTTTTCATTTCTTATTTTGTTTATTTGGGTTCTCTTTTTCTTCTTGGTGAGTCTGGTCAGAGGTTTGTCAATTTTGTTTACCCTTTCAAAGAACCAGCTCTTGATTTTATTTTTTTCTATTGTTTTTTAATCTGTTTTATTTCCTCTAAACTGTATTGTTTCCTTCCTTCTGCTGCCTTACGTTTGTTTACTCTCCTTTTTCTAATTTACTCTCCTTTTTCTAATTATTTCAGGTAGTAGGTTAGGTTGTTTGAGATTTTTCTTGTTGTTTTGAGGAAGGCATGTAGTTCTAGGAACTTCCCTGTAAGAACTGATTTTGCTGCATCCCATAGCTTTTGTGTGGTTGTGCTTTCGTTTCATTTGTTTCAAGGTACTTTTTAGTTTCTTTTTTGATTTCCTTGTTGACCCATTGGTTTTTCTAGTAGCACATCGTTTAGTCTCCATGTAATCGGTTTTTTTCTCATTTCTTTTCCTATGGTTGATTTCTAGCTTCATGCCATTGCGGTCAGAGAAGATGCTCAAAATAATTTCTATACTCTTAAATGTGTTGAGGTTAGTTTTGTGCCCTAGTATGTGGTCAGTCCTAGAGAATGTTCCATGTGTACTTGAAAAGAATGTGTATTCTGGTTTGTTTGGGTTTTTTTGATGTAATGTCCCAAAAATATCAATTAAGTGTAACTGTTCTATTGTATCATTTAGGATCTCTGTTGTCTTTGATTTTCTGTCTAGAAGATACGTCCATTGATGTGAGTGGGGTGTTAAAGGGAGAGATTGACAGGAATACAATAATAGTTGGAGACTTTACGTCTGTTAGGACTTGTTTTATGTATTTTGGTGCTCCTATATTAGGAGTTAAGGAGTGTAAAATCCTCTTCTTGTATTGACCCTCTTATCATTATATAGTGTCCTTCTTTAAAACAGAGGCCATAAAGAAAAAGTCTATTTTGTCTGATACAAGTATTGTGACTCCCGCTTTCTTGTCGTTTCTGTTTGTATGAAGTATCTTCTTCCATCCCCTCATTTTCAATCTATTTGTGTCCTCTGCCCTATGGTGGGTCTCTTGTATTTTAATGCAGTCTGCCACTCTGTGTCTTTTGATTGGCGCATTCAGTCCATTGACATTTAAGGTAATTATTGATACATATGTATGTATTGCCATTTTAAACCTTGTTTTCCAGTTAATTTTGTTTCTTCTTTGTTCGTTCTTCTTGTTTTTCTTTCTGTGGTTTAATGATTTCCTTTTATTTTATGCTTGTGTTTTCTTGCTTTTGGTTTTTGTGAATCTATGGTACGTGTTTGATGTGTGGTTGCCCTGTTTTTCAAGTATGTTCACCCCCTCCTATATCTGCTTGCTTTATACTGATAGTCAAATAGGCTCAAACACATTCTAGAAAAAAAAATCTACATTTTCTTACTCTTTCCCCACATTTTATGATTTTCATGTCCTTTTGTACATCTTCATGTTTATCCTTTTGCTGTTCCTGTATTTATCATTGCTTTCACAGATAGGTTTTTTTTTCCTTTTGATCTGTATATTGAATTCTTTAAGTGATTTACTTTCCATTTGTGATTTCCTCCTTCCTATATCTTCCTTTCTGTTTAGAAAAGACCTTTCAGTATTTCTTCTGGGATAGGTTTAGTACTGCTGTATTCTTTTAGTTTTTGCTTGTCTGAGAAATTCTTTCCCTCCCCTTCTATTCGAAATGGTAATCTTGCTGGGTAGAGTAACCTAGGTTGCAGACTTTCCCCTCCAGGACTTTGCTGCCGAGAGTGCCCTCACAGAGAAAGAAGCTCCTATGGCGGTCCTGCCCCCTCCTAGCACACCCCCCCCCCAACAATAGTGCCTTGCCTCTCTAATGGGCCCAGGCTTCTTTCTGTCCTCCCTCAGCTGGGGCATACCACGCCCTAGCCCCCTCTGGGTGTCTCCAAGCAACGAACCCCAGTCCTCTCCCTGGGTCTGACCTCCAAATCCCGAGCGTCAGCACCCAGCCCCTGCCTGCCTCAGCAGAGGAGCATCTCAGGCTAGGGGGTTCCGGGCAGTGGTACCAACCCTCCATGCAGGTCTCTCTCCTCTTTGCTCTCTACAAACTGGTTGCTGTGCTCCTCCAAGGCTCCAAAGCTTCCCCTCTGTCCTGGTTGATCTCCCTGCCAGTGAGGGGACTTCCCAGGGTGCAGAAAGCCTTCCCCTTGCACAGTTTCCTCCCAGGGGCACAGATCCTGTCCCAATTCCTCTTTTTTTTCCTTTTTTCTTTTGTCCTACCCAGTTATGTGGAGATTTTCTTACCCTTTTGAAAGTCTGAGGTCTCCTGCCAGGGTTCAGTAGATGTTCTGTGAGAATCAGTCCACGTGCAGGTGTATTTTTGATGTGTTTGTGGCAGAAGGTGAGCTCCATACCCTGGTCCTCCAGCATCTCGATCCCATCCCTGTCCTTCGTTATTTATGATGGTTACACGGATGCCAGTTCTTACGGATTTATTCAGTTCATCAAGGCTTCGTACAGTATTCCATAATACTGTTTAAAACCAAAACCAGTTTTCTCATACTTTTCATCTGCCTCCATCCTTCTCTGTTTTTCCTGCCATACCACAGCTGCAGGTTGTATCTCAGGCAAGAGGGAGGCAGGGTAAAAATGAAGGCAAGTTACTTGGGATCTGACGGTTCTTCCCCTGCACTGCATCTGACCCCAGTCTCCCTGCCCTGCTTCCTTGGCACACCGAGCCCTGACTCTGCAGAGAGGCCTCAGGTATTCCTGGACATCCAGTCACTACACAGAGATCCTGATCACATCCTCTGCCAATCTTGTCTCTCTCTCGGACTTTGTCTCACTCCCTCCACGTGGCATCTCCTGGTCCTGCTGGGCAGGGCCTCATTTTGTTCTACGGTACTGATGACTTCTGTGACCTTGGGAAAGTGACTCCGATTCTCTGGCCTCTACAGCACGAGGGACTGGGTGCAGTGCTTTCGGGATCCAGGCGTGGTGTGGTTGACCTGCTGCAGTCCCGTCCCTCGGATTACACGTGGATGGTGCCTCCTTAGGTCAGAACGCATCTGCGCAGCAGACGTAACGGTGGAGCCTGCACACTGACGCCTCTTTTCTTGGCCCCTAGTGTTCCGCTAGCTGTGGTTTGGGGGTAAGGAAGAGGGAAATGAAATGCAGCGAGAAGGCCTTCCAGGGCAAGCTGGTAACCCTCCCTGAGCGACGGTGCCGCAATATTAAGAAACCAAACCTGGACTTGGAAGAAACCTGCAACCGAGGGGCGTGTCCAGCCCGTCCAGTGTACAGTATGGCAGCTGGGTGGTATTCGTCGCCATGGCAACAGGTGAGTGCACACAGAGTGAGGGGTTTTACACCTAGGAGAGATTCAAGAAAAGGAGGCAGTTTACAGCTGCTGCTGTTACAGACCTGTCCAAACAACCTGAGCTCCTTGGCCAGCTCCACTGCCCATGCGGCCCTGGGCAGATTCCATCATCTGTGAGCCTCCATTTTCACATCTAGAAAATTGAGATGATAATATCTTGCAGAGCTGGGTTTTTTTTTTTTTTCTTGCGGAGCACAGGCTCCGGATGCGCAGGCTCAGTGGCCATGGCTCACGGGCCCAGCCGCTCTGCAGCATGTGGGATCCTCCCGGACCAGTACACGAACCCGTGTCCCCTGCATCGGCAGGCGGACTCTCAGCCACTGCGCCACCAGGGAAGCCTTTTTGAATGAGTAAATAAAGTCCTTAGTCCCAGGGCCGTCACACCGTGCTGATGTTCACAGTCGTTGCTGGTGTTCAAACCATCACGAGAGTCTTCTGTATTTTAGAAATGCTGCTCAGAGGCTTGACTCGCTTGGCTTTTATGTCATGTTTCTGAATAATATAATAGCTAACATTTGTCAAACGCTTTCTACGCTACGGACTGTACATGCATCCTCTATTCCCTCCGTTCATCCTGGAAACAGTCTTATCAGTGGGTATTATTGCCCCTTTTTTGAGGCAGGTAAAGCTCAGTGACTTCGGCAATTCAGCCAAAGACACCCAGCTTTTAAACTCAGATCCTCGAAAGACTTGGAGGCAACTTTAGACACGCTGCTTTGGGCTAGGATTGGTATGTGATGCTAAGTCTCAGAGAATGATACGCCCTCAGGAATCCAAAGCTGTGTTTTGGTCCGTGCGTTGTTACAACCAATGGGAGTTACATAGCTCTTCAGAGACCCCACTGGCTTGAGAGGTGCTACCCACCTCATCATGCAACACAGGAGCCAGGTAGGTTTGGGTATGTATTGGGGAGGCTCGGGGAACTAAAACCTGGAGGAAAGATCAGGAAATTAGCATGATTGCATCTCTCTAATTGGCTAGGCTCCTACTAGGTGATATGCCTATTGCTATGAATTCCTTTAAAAAATTTTAACAGATTTAGAAATTGATTCATGTAAAATCATTTAGATCAGGGATCAGCAAATAATTTCCAGCGGGCAAATCATCTCCGCCAGCTGCTGCCTGGATAAACTTTTATTAGCGCACAGCCATGCTCATTTGTTTGTGGTGTTCACGGCTGCTTTAGTGCTGCAAAGGCAAAGTTGAGTAACTGCAACAAAAATCGTATGGCCCATAAAGCCTAAAATACGTACTACTGTGAGAGGAGAGTTCCCCAGATGACAGAGTAGGAGTTCACCCCCTCTCACGGGCACACCAAAATAACAACTATTTACAGAACGACAATTGACGACAAAGACCGGAACCTACCAGAAAAGATCTTCTGCAACTAAAGATGTAACGAAGGAGCCACAGTGAGATGGGTAGGAGAGGCAGAGTCGCAGTATACCCCCAGGTGGGTGATTCACAAATGGGAGAATCGCTACAGTTGCAGAGCTTGTCCCCAGGGAGCAAGGGATCTGCACCAGGAAGATGAGCCTTCAGGACGTCTGGCCTTGGAGGCCAGTGGAGCTTACTTTCAGGAGTTCCGGAGCACTGTGGGAAACAGAGACACCGCTCTTAAAGGGTGCACACAGAATGTCACACACTCTGAGACCTAGGGCATAAGCAATGCTTAGAAAGGAGCCTGGGTCAGACCTACCTGCTGATCTTGGAGAGTCTCCTGGAGAAGAAGGAAGCAACTGGAACAAACCCTGGGTACAGACACTGGCATTGGGGGAGCTCATTCTACCACATGGACACTAGTGCTGGCAAGCGCCATTTTGTAACCTCCCTCGAGCTGATTAGCCTAGGGATCCAGCCCTGCCTGCCAGCCTAAAGGCACCAGTACTGGGACGCCTCAGGCCAAGCAGTTTAACTGGGTGCAGATGCTGCCCCACCCACCAGCAAAGAGGCTGCCTTAAGACTCCCTGGGCCCAAGCCCAGCCTACCAGTGAGGCTGCTCTAGCCTCAGAACCAGCCTCACCCACCAGCAGGTGGACAGCAGCCTCAGGACAACTGCAGCCATGGCGGGACCCAGCCCACCCACCAGCAGGCCAACACCAGCTCTAAGATACCTTGGCTGCCAGCTGCCCTGGGATCCAGCCCAACTCATCAGTAGGCCAACACAAGCTGTGAGACATGCCAGGCCCACAGCAGCTGTGTCAGAAAATGGCTTTACCCACCAACATTTAGACACAACCTCTGGGACCACTGGACTCTGCAGCCAGACGCCAGGACCTGACTTTGCCTGCCACTGGGCTGGCACTAGCCCCAGGACCTGGCTGAATGCACCAGTAGGTGGGCCTCAGCCCTGGGATCTCCTGGACCCTGACCCTGCTCACCAGCAAGCCAGCACTAAGCCCAGGGTTCTGCAGCCAGCCACCTTGTGACACAGCCTCACCAAGCAGCGGTCAGCAGCCTCTGCACAAGGCAGGGCAATAAAAGGAATCCACGCTGGAAAAGAAGAAGTAACACTGTCACTGTTTGTAGATGACATTATACTATACATAGAAACTCCTAAAGATACACCACCAAAAAAACTACCACAGCTCATCAATGGATTTGGTAAAGCTGTAGGATACAAAATTAATATACAGAAATCTGTTATATTTCCATACACTAATAACAACCTGTCAGAGAAATTAAACAATCCCATTTACAATTACATCAAAAAGAATAAAATACCTAGGAATAAACCTACCCAAGGAGGTAAAGGACCTGTACTCGTAAAACTATAAGACACTGATCAAAGAAACTGAAGAGGTCATAAACAGATGGAAAGATATACTGTGTTTGTGGATTGGAAGAATTAATATAATTAATATTGTTAAAATGATCATACTACCCAAGGCAATCTACATATTCAGTGCAATCCCTATCAAAATACCAATAGCATTTTTCGCAGAACTGGAACAAATAATCTTAAAATTTGTTTGGAAACACAAGAGACCCTAAATAGCCAAAACAATCTTGAGAAAGAAGAACAGAACTGGAGGTATCATGCTCCCTGACTTCAGACTATACTAAAAAACTATGGTAATCTAAACAGTATGATACTGGCACAAAAACAGACACATGGATTAATGGGACCGAATAGAGAGCCCAGAATTAAACCCATGCACTTAAGGTCAATTAATCTACAATGAAGGAGGCAAGAATATACCGTGGAGAAAATAGTCTCTTCAATTAGTGGTACTGGGAAAACTGTACTACTGCATGTAAAAGAATGAAATTAGTACATTTTCTCATACCATATACAAAAATAAACTCAGAATGGAGTAAAGACCTAAATGTAAGACCAGAAACCATAAAACTCCTAGAAGAAAACATAGGCAGAACATTCTTTTACATAAATTGTAGCAATGTGTTTTTGGGTCTGCCTCCTCAGGCAGAGGAAACTAAAGCAAAAATAAACACATGGGATCTAATTAAACTTAAAAACTTTTCACATCAAAGGAAACCATAGACAAAATGAAATGACAACCTACCGACTGGGAGGAAATATTTGCAAATGATGTGACTAATAAGGGGATAATATCCAACATATAAACAACTCACACAAATCCGTATCAAAAAACAAAACAACCCAATCAAAAATGGGCAGAACTGAATAAACACTTTTCCAAAGAGGACATGCAGATGGCCAAAGAGTACATGAAAAGATGCTCAACATCACTGATCATCAGAGAAATGCAAATCAAAACCACAGTGAGGGACTTCCCTGGTGGCACAGTGGTTAAGAATCTGCCTGCTAATGCAGGGGACACGGGTTCAAGCCCTGGTCCTAGAAGATGCCACATGCCGCAGAGCAGCTGAGCCCATGCGCCACAACTACTGAGCCTGCGCTCTTGAGCCCGCATGCTGCAACTACTGAGCCTGCGTGCCTAGAGCCCGTGCTCCACGACAAGAGAAGCCACTGCGATGAGAAGCCCACACTGAAGAGTAGCCCCCACTCACCCTGCAAGTACAGGAAGCCCGCCCGCACACAGCAACGAAGACGCAACGCAGCCAAAAATAAAGTTATATTAAAAAAAAAACACAGTGAGATGTTACCTCACACTTCTTAGTATGGCTATCATCAAAAAGAATGCAAATAACAAATGTTGGCGAGGATGTGGAGAAAAGGGAACCCCTATACACTGTTGGTGGGAATGTAAATTGGTGCAGACACTGTGGAAAACAGTATGGACATTCCTCAAAAAACTAAAAATAGAACTACCATATGACCCAGCAGTTCAACTCCTGGGTATGTATCCAAAGAAAAAGAAAACACTAATTCAAAAAGATACATGCACCCTAATTTTCATAACAGCATTATTTACAATAACCAAGATATGAAAGCAAACTAAGTACCTATCGACAGATGAGTGGATAAAGAAGATGTGGTACATGTATATAATGGACTACTACTCAGCCATAAAAAAGGAAATAATGCCATTTGCAGCAACATCAATGGACCAGGAAGGTATTATGCTTAGTGAAATAAGTCAGATAGAGAAGGATAAACACTGTTATCACTTATATGTAGAATGTAAAAAATATAGAGAACAAACCAGTAACAGAGTGGGAGGGGCATTAAAAGGTACAAACTACTGTATATATAATAAATAAGCTACAATGACATGTTTTACAGCACAGGGGTTATAACCAATATTTTATAATAACTATAAACGGAATATAATCTATAAAAATTTTGAATCACTCTGTTGTACACCTGAGACTAATACAATATTGTAAATCAAATAAAAATATTTACTGTCTTGCTCTTTACAAAAAAAGTTTGCCAACTTCTGGTTTAAATGATTTGATAACACTAATACAGCTATATTTGAATTTGGGGCTAAATCCAAAACTCATACTCTTTTTACCTCAACGTATCTTTTCCTCTCAAATGCCAATCCATATAGTGATGCTTGTCCAAGATGAAGTCTGCACCTGTCCACAATAAAATAAGAAAAATAATAAGGATAATTTAGTGAATTTTTTAAAAGCAAAATACATATAAAAATCTATTTAAAGGGCTATCTTTTCCCCTGATAATATTTTCTTGTTTTCCAGGCACAAATATCTTTATATGTGTGCCTGGAAAAATATAACTTGACACTCCTTATTAGTCTTTTTTTTTTGTTTTTAAACTTCAGTTGGACAGTGAAATAATTGACTTCTAGGAAGCACCATATCCACCAGGCTAACTCAGAGTTCGGCTGGGCACAGAGGGCATAATTCCAAAGCTGTCTCGGAGAGTTATTTCTTTTGCTGTCCAAGTTTTGAACTACCCCCCCACTATCGTATCTGCAGAGATTGCCTGGAATTCTTTAAATACTGTGATGAATTGCCTAGATGTGTCTCTCTTTGTTTCTGCATTCTTATAGCAGCTTCTGTATTTCTTTATGAGTCACTTAACTGGGAGACACACATTCTTGGGGGAGATAGACAGCATTTGCTTAAGAGCCTTCTAATCAGATCCCATGGCTCCCACATGTTAGAAGAGACTCAGTGTACCACGAGCACATTGTGCCTGGCTCTGGACAATCCCTGTTTTATGGACAGGCATCTTGGCGATGTCATGAAGCATAGGGATTCCTTTTATTTGATGTCACTGACATCAGACAGGACACCATCCCGATTGATCCTGACTCCTTCCTCTTTTCCCTTTTCTGCAGTGCACGGTGACCTGTGGAGGAGGGGTCCAGACTCGATCAGTCCACTGTGTTCAGCAGGGCCAGCCTTCCTCAAGTTGTCTGCTCCGGCAGAAACCTCCGGTGCTACGAGCCTGTAATACAAACTTCTGTCCAGCTCCTGAAAAGAGAGGTAAAGGACCCCATGTGCCAGTCAGTTTTACTGCTCTTTGGAATATTTTTCAAAAGCCTACCGTATTTGATTGCGTAGCTTATGCATTGCACAACGCTAGAGGGCGCCATTCACATCCAAGTCTATGTGAAGAGCACTCCTGAGAGGTGTACAAGGCACAGATCCAGGAAAGTTCCTGCTCAAAGTGATCTTGTTTGCATGGGTATGCAAGAACATTTAATTCTACAATTAATGGCTTTTTAGCCATTCATTTTTACTTTGAAAGGACGAAATGGTAATGTTGCAAGGCCCTTTTCTTAAATTTAAATTGAAAAAAGTAACCACCATGTGCCAGAGCCATAAAAAAGAATGAAATAATGCCATTTGCAGCAACCTGGATGGACCTAGAGCTCATCATAATAAGTCAGACAGAGGAAGAGAAGTATCATATGATATCACTTATATGTGGAATCTAAAAAAAAAATGATACAAATGAACTTATTTACAAAACAGAAACAGTCTCACAGACTTCGAAAACAAACTTACGGTTACCAAAGGGGAAACGTGGGGAGGGAGGGATAAATTAGGAGTTTGGGATTAACATATACACGCTACTATATATAAAAGAGATAACCAATAAGGACATACTGTATAGCACAGGGACCTCTACTCAATATTCTGTAATATCCTATATGGGAAAAGAATCTAAAAAAGAATGGATGTATGTATAACTGAATCACTTTGCTGTACACCTGAAACTGGCACAACATAGTAAATCAACTATACTGCAAGATCAAATAAAAATTACATTTAAAGAAAGAAAGATAAAAAAAGTTGAACAAAGTAACCACCATAGGCCAGAGATAATGCTTATCCACCAGAATGCAAGAGTGAACAAGAATTGCCCTCTAGGAACATACGTACGCGGGCCTCTCACTGCTGTGGCCTCTCCCGTTGCGGAGCACAGGCTCCGGACGCGCAGGCTCAGCGGCCATGGCTCACGGGCCCAGCCGCTCCGCGGCATGTGGGATCTTCCCGGACCGGGGCACGAACCCACGTCCCCTGCATCGGCAGGTGGACTCTCAACCACTGTGCCACCAGGGAAGCCCTAGGAACTTACATTTTAATTGAGGCGACAGATAAATTACAATTGCAGTGAATATGCATTATCCTAGCACTACACCTTGAATGGTTGTTTTTTTTGGTTCAAGTTAGGTCAAGTGAAGTACAGTGAGTGCTGATGGAAAAATGGGAAATTCACTTGTCTGAGTGAACCATACTCTTCTTCACTAGTCCATCTTATTTTAAAGTAATCTGACAAACACCAGGAAATATTTCTTCAGCCTAATCAGATTTCCTTGTGCCCAAGAATCATTTTCCATCGTGTACCTGCTGAGTTTTCACTTTATCCAATCTCTTACCCCAGGTTTTCCAAGTTGTGGTGAATCAGGTTCAGGCCTGTTCCTCACTTCCTCTTTCACTGTCCATACCACTTCCCATCTCTAAATTGATGTTGTTGTTTATCTCCTTCTTACAGCCTTAGCTCCAGGCATCAATTTTCTCTCCTCTGCTCTTTCTCCTTTCTTATCTGGGGTTTGCACAAGATAAGAAAACATAGCAGAGCCAGATCACCTCTAAGGCAATGCCAGAATTCTACAAACCTGCAGCCTTTCTCAGCATAAAGCTTATAGGGGAAGAAGCAAGTGGTCATATACTCCCAGACTGACGACCCCTTTCCTCACCATCGGTGATTTTTCACTTTCACCCTTTAGTCAGTTGGCCACAGACAAACCCACACATACAAAGGCTCAGTGTGGAAGGGCCACAAATAAAGGGCATGCGCCCTCAGTAATTTCCTAAAGGCCAAAGGCCAATCCTGAAAATAAGAGTACGTATTTCCTGGGCAGGACTGTGAGGTAGGGAAAGTCAAGAGGCATGCTAGGGGCAAGGCGGTGGGGAGGCTGTCGATGTTTATTATTTTGTGCACCCGTCACCACACATGGCACACAGTAGGTGCTCAACACGTGTTACATGAACAAATGCAGGAGTGCGTAAATAAAGGACTGTGTGTTAAGTACTCTTGTTTCCCCTTTACCGCTCTTCTAGGGATAAAAGAACATGGCAGGGTCTTGTTCCTAAGCCACAGGGAGCTCAGTGTCTCAAAAGAGGAGAAAGACACCACTGCAAATAAAACGGGGGGAACGTCCCTAGCGTTGTGACGGCGGTGAGCTCTAGCTGGTTTGCAGGGATGGTGCAAAGTGAAAAAGGAGGATGTGGGGAAAGGCTTCCTGGAAGAGGGACTTCTCTCCATGCCTCTTGACCGAGTCAGGTCTCCTTTTAGAAAGAGGAGTAAAATGAGAAGGCAAATATGAAGGACACAAGCCCAGGTGTTTCTTCCTGGCCAAAAACGTGGGCTATAGTCTTACTAAGTTGGAGATTTCCTCTCAGTTCTCCCATTGCCATCCCCAAGGTAAGGAGGGTGGCATGCACACGCTACTGCCCAGAAGTCTGCCTTCTTATGTTGCTGGCTGGATGCCCACTGGGGGAAGTGATTTGAGTGTATTTTCGGCCCTGAGTTTTCAGGAACTGTGAGTGGGCAGTAAGCATTCCCGTGGGGATACAGGGAAGAGGTTTCAGTTCTCTGAATCTTCTCTGAGACCCCTGCGGGGGGCTGCGTGCTCTGCTAGGCACTGTGAGAGTTTCAGACATACAGTCTTGCCCTCAAGGAGCTGACAGTCAGGTGGAAGTTTTGAGGCATTGCAGTAACTCAAACTGGACCTCAGAGCAGATGTTTCTTCCATCCTGTCTTCCAGGACAGCCAAGCAGGTGTGACATCCCTCACACCCCCCGCCATGCTGGCAGCCGGTCTAGGGCATTCACCTCATACCACCATCACTGTGGGATGCTTTACCGGGATGTATTCATTGGATCTCCACTTTGGGGACCAACCCTATGACTTGGTATTACACATATTTTATGTGTAAGGCTTATTCAGAAAAGAGCAAAGCCCTGGGCTGTAACCACCAGACACTTGTCGGTCACACTGCCCTGTAACTGGTAACCGTCTGGAAGATGCCTGGAGTGCAGACTAGTGAGATGAAGTTGGAGATGACTAGACACACGATACAAACAAGCTACTCCTCATGGAAGTCCTCACGTCTTCAAGTCGGGAGGGGGACGGGTGGGCAGCACTGTACAATGAAAGGAGCGAGGACTCTGAATTCATAAAAATGGATTTGATATAAAATAGACAGCTAGTGGGAAGCAGCCGCATAGCACAGGGAGATCAGCTCGGTGCTTTTTGACCACCTAGAGGGGTGGGATAGGGACAGTGGCAGGGAGGGAGACACAAGAGGGAAGAGATACGGGGATATATGTATATGTATAGCTGATTCACTTTGTTATACAGCAGAAACTAACACACCATTGTAAAGCAATTATACTCCAATAAAGATGTTAAAAAGAAAAAAAAAGTTTAAAAAATGAATAAATAATGTTGGTGAATTTAAAATAAGAATCTGGATTATTAAAGTTACAAATCTTTGGTCTTTATACCTTTAATAAAACATGCATCTATTAATAATGGGGGAAAAAATGGATTTGAGTCCACATTGTGCCACTTACTGTGTGGACATGGACAAGGTTTTAAACTTTCTGAACTATTTATAAAATGGACTATTTATAAAACTATTTATAAAAATAGTTTTTTATAAACTATTTTTAAAACTATTTATAAAACTATTTATAAATAGTTTTAAAACTATTTATAAAACTATTTATAAAAAGCATTTAAGGTAATGTTTACCTTAAAAGGTTACTGAGAGTTAAATAAGGTAATTCAGTTCTTAATACTTACCTATTTAGTGCTTACTGGGAACCAGGAACTGTTCTGATGTCCGACTGTAGATAGAGCAGGGAACAAAATGGGCAGTTTCACCTTCATACCTGGAAACAGACAACAAACCAACCAATTAATGTACAATGTTATATGGCAAAGTAGCAGAGAATAAAACTGAAGAAGGGTGTATGACAAGAGAATAGTTGGGGTTGAAGAGGTGGTGGGAAAACCAGTTTAGATAGAATAGTCAGGCAAGCCCACTTTGATGATGCGATATTTAAACAGAGACCTGAAGACAACCTAAAGGAAGGTGAGCTATGTATGCATCTAGGAGAGTGTTCCTGGCAGAGGGAACAGCAAATGCAAAGGCCCTGAGGCAGGAATATGTAAATCTGATCAAGGCAGGACAGCAAGACACCTGGAGCAGGATGAATACAGTGAAGGGGGGTTAAGCCATGAGCTAAAAGTGATCCTGGAGGCCCTGTAAGTTATTATAAGGACCTCAGATAAAAGTCTGAGTTCGAGGGAAGGCAACAGAGAACTTAGAGCAGAGGTGCAGGAGGATCTGACTTGGAGATCATTGGCACTTATACTGAGATGAGGGCAGGGGACCTAGAACAGAACGAGGACTTATCTGCTCTGCAGAAGGCAGCTCCAACAGTCCAGCGAGGGGACGAGTTCCCACTGGGGCAGTCGCAGGTGTGGGGGTGGCTGGATGCTGACTGTATTTTGAAGATGAAGCCAAAAATATTTGTCAGTTGTCTGCATGTAAGATGTGAAGCTCACTCTAGGGTCGTCCTTAATAGTGCAAATAAAATACCTGACTCATAATAGAAGCTCGAATAACAAGCTACTAGTAATGATCATGATAACTATAACCCAACACGGCACTTATACTGATAGCATAGTGAGACCCCTCATGTCTGCTTCGGGACTTACGTTTAGCTTATAGCACAAGCTGCAGCTACCTGTCAAAATTCCATTCTTATCTCGAGAGGGGTAAGTGACGATAAGCAGTGCAGTTAGGACCATGCTTTTAGTGGTCTGTTTTTATCCTCCAGTATCTCCACTGCATCAAGAAGATAATCTCTACAATCTAAATAGAAACTGATCCAGACATACATTCTGATTGATTAGGGTGCATGCTAATGGGGTATAAGACACTGTACAAGTGTATATTAAAAAATAATTGAGGGGCTTCCCTGGTGGCGCAGTGGTTGAGAGTCCGCCTGCCGGTGCAGGGGACGCGGGTTCATGCCCCGGTCCAGGAAGATCCCACATGCCGAGGAGCGGCTGGGCCCGTGAGCCATGGCCGCGGAGCCTGCGCGTCCTGAGTCTGTGCTCCGCAACGGGAGAGGCCACAAAAGTGAGAAGCCCGCAAAAAAAAGAAAAAAAATTGAACTTGAAGATGTATAAATAGACACATAGGCAAAGTATTCGTGTCATGTCTAGCTTCTATCTCTAACAGTACATCCTAAACCAGTCTCCTGGTGCCCTACCTCCACTCCTATAGAGGTCCCCATGTCAGTAAACGTGATCCCATTCTTCTAGATGCTCAGGTCAAAATCCTAGAGTCATTCTTGATTCTTCTTTTTCTCTCATACCCTTTACCAACCTTTCAGTAAATCCGTTAGACTCTACCTCCAAAATATACCCAGGACTTATTGGATAGACAGTAACAACTCCATTTCATCCTTACACCCAAGCTGACAGTATAGTTTCAGTTGGTTGTTTCAGCCATGAGAGGTACATGGAATTTATTTTTTCAACAAATACTTTTTGAGTAGCTACTCAGAAGACACTAGATGTTGGGAACAAAGCAGTGAAAAGAAGTAGATAAAATCTCTGCTTAAGGATCTTGTACTCTAGAGAGGACCCAGATAGTAAACATAATATGATAAATACCAGTAAATCCACTGTAGCAAAATAAAGCAAGGGAGGGCATAGGGATTCCTTCCTGGGAGGCCAAGGGGCTTGCTGTTTTTATAGGGTGGTCAGAGAAGGCCTTACTGATCGCTGACCTCTGAGCAAAGACTTAAGGGAAATGAAGGAGAAGTGTCTCAGGTGTCTTAGGGGAACCAGATCCTAGGGCCTCCTCGTCAGTCATTGTAAGGACCATACCTTTCACTCTGAGTGGATGGGATCCAGTGGCAGAGTTAGGGGCAGAGACATGACATGAATGGATTTCTGTGTTAAAAGGATCACTGGAGCTACTATGAGACAGGGGTGAAGTGTGTGTGTATAAAAGGGAGTTTTAGGCAGAGGAACCAAGTCTTAAGGAAGGGAAGAAGGAACTGTAGGCAGTTCTGAATCGCAGGAGGACAGGATAAAAATTGGGAGCAGCAGGAAAAACAGAAGAGCGGCAACCTTTCATGACATGTCTAAAGGCACACAGGGGAGCCACTGAAGGACGAATTCGGAAGGGACATGATTGGGTGCCTGTGGGCAGAGTGTGGTTTTGGGTGAGTTGAGGGTGACTTAAGGCTTTCATAGAGAAAAAAATTCCAGCTCTGAATGAGAGTATAGGGTAGACCCTAAATATTTCTGAAGTCAAAAATCCTTGAGAATCCAGTAGAATGACTGAACCCTAACTCCTAAAACATGCATTTATGTTTACATAAAGAGAAATTTACATACAACTTCCTGTGCCTTCTGTATCTCCTGAGGCCCTTTTGGGTAAAACCCTTTGATGCCCAATGTTCTGCTTCCAATAGATAATCACGTCTGTTATCTTAAAGAACTAAAGAAGTTTGAAAAGATTGGTGCTGACTTAAATTCACTTATTTGCAAATTGGCCATGAGATTTTATTTAAACCTACACAGAATGTGGCAGAAATAAAAAATCTCAGTCTTCACCCCAGACCTTCTGAAGCAGAACTAGTGGTTTAACAACACCCTCAGGGTATCCCTAATGCGCTGTTCTAGGGTACGTCCCTTGGAGGCAGAACGGTAGCCCCCGGGTTATTTGGGAGGATCTGACATTAACCTCAGGCTGGATATGACTTTTTTCAAACACCCACTTTCCCCCCCACCTGTTTACATTTTGTTAATGGTTATGGGTCCCTTTAGGTGTCCTAATCCTGCTTTCCCCACTCTCCCACCAAAGTCCTAATGTATAATGTAAGAACCACTCAGGGCACAAGGCAAGTCGACCCCAAGTCTTTGTTCTCTAGGCCCTGACCTTAAGAAAAAGGCTAAGAACCTATCCTAACGTGCTGAATGTGTTCTCTCACCTTAGAGGATCCATCCTGTGTAGATTTCTTCGGCTGGTGTCATCTTGTGCCTCAGCATGGTGTCTGCAACCACAAATTTTATGGCAAACAGTGCTGCAAGTCATGCACAAGGAAGAGCTGATCTTGACACCCTTCCAGCCTGGAAGGGCCAGGGTCTTACCTCCCAGCCTCCAGAGAGACCAGCCACATTCCCATCGAAAGCTGAACACTGCAAACCACGTGTGAGCTGACCGCAGTGTTGGAGGGGCCCGCTCTCAAGTACTGACAGGCTCCTTTTTCAGTTCCCCAATGCACATGGTACTCAGAAGCACTTGAAAATGGGAAGCGATGACAAATCTGATTTACAAAAACGTAAAACAGAAAGAGAACAGCTTTGATTTGCACTGTTACACGCAAGAAGTGATAACTTACAATGAGATAGAACAAATTGTGACCAAGTGAGACTCTTGTTAACTTTGGGACAGACCCCCCCTGTGAACCTCAGAGGGTTCCATGACCAAGACGTCAGTTGTGAAAAGGCCCTTTAAGACCTCAAGTCAAAGACTGAGACTTGGAGCAATCAAATGTGGACGGAACACACTGCCTAACTTCCTTGGAGCTCACAGTTTGACGCAACTGTGGACACCCCAGACCAGAAGTTATACAAACGCCAGATGGTGCTCGTGACTGTGCTTGCTGCTGGACTAGCAAGCTTCATGTCCTGTTTATTTGGGGGTGTGTGTGTGTGTGTGTGTGTGTGTGTGTGTGTGTGTGTGTGTGTGTGTGTGTGTGTGTTGTTTTTTTATTATTTTGTTTAAAGTATATTATAGACAGTCTCCTAGACTAAAATTCACAACTTGAAAAGGAATATTCTGAAAACAGGGCAACGTGAACTAGTTAAGATCGCCACTTAATTGAAATTCACACTCTGAAAAAAAGGAGAGAAAAAAAAAACCCACAAAACACTGTTGCCCTATACACTCTATGAACCTCATAATTTTTGGTGCTAGTCGAACAAGTACTCAGGAGCCTCAAGTCTGCTCTTTGGGAATCACAATTGGTGAGATGTTCATTTCTGGTAAAAATCTAAGAGGAGCTAAAGAGCAAAACAGCCCTGTTTTGAAGGAGAGGAAAACATCATTTATAATGCTCCCTACATATTATCAGGGATGCTTGGAAAATTAAAGGCCGCTTGTGGTTTTTTTCCCCTACCAACTGACATGTTTAAATTTGCCCTAGGATTTAGTTAACAAGAAAAAAGTCACAGTAGCAATAGAAAAATCCATCTGTCTTCTTGCTATGTGAATATTAATAAGTCATAATATGCCAAGACCCTTCAACAAATGTTTTATAATCTTTCAGGTCATAGTTTCAGTGTTCAGAAACCAGCTGTTGGTAGGCACTAATGAGCTTAAAATTGCGCTCAACTGGAAAAATACCACAGTATTTTGCCAAAACCAAAGTAACTTACGAGACTGTGTCCTTCTGTAATTTTTTGAGATGTGGTTATTAAGGGCATATTTATATAATTCTTCTCTATTCCTCAATGTCTTTGATGAATGTAACCCAATTTTACTGCTTTAAAAAGTCTCAATTCAAACAGGGATTTGCCAGCTCAGCACAACCAACGAGACAGCGGTTTGTTAAATTTAGAGCATCCTTTGTTCCATTCTAATTAGAATCATGCATTCTCAGATCTCAGAGAAATGATGATTAGAATATTCTCTCAATCTCCTTGGCTTGGCCCAGAATAATGGCCATTTTATCATAAAAAAATATATATATATCGTGCTACATCACCACCCCCTTGCCCTCTGAAAACTTGCAAGTTGTTTCTTTATATAATTATCATTTTATTATTTTATGGAGAATTAATTTATTAATTAATAGCCTATTCTTATGTGTTCTCACTTGCTTCGCTAAGTGATATTAATTCTGAGGAAAAATGTTGAATAAATAAACATGGGTTATAGAGAAAAGTCAAAATATATGTGTAATATTTAATTATTTTATAAGTTTTATAATAAAGTGTTCTGTTTCTTTGTCTTTGAAACTTGTTAAGTTCTTGAATAAATTAGTGAGAAGCCAGTGATTACCAAGGTGATATAAGTGTACAAATGTTGATTAAGAATCTCAGAGTAATTTCTCAAAAAGTTGAGAAAAGGTTTGGGGTAAGATATTCATTAATCATTTTTTTTGTTTGTGTATGAGAAAATTACAAACCGTCAAATGCTGGAATGAAATACATGACATTTACCATCTTGTGGAGATACTGAATTATTTTTTTTCTACTCTTAATAGTCATGTAATCATTTATTTATGGAAATCATCCAAGTTAGATAAGCCATAAATGTAGTTGCATCTCTTTTTTTTTTTTCTGCTTGAAAATCTTTTTGCAGAAAGAAAGAGAGGGAAGGGAAAGGAGGGGGGAAAGAAAAAAAAACTAATAAATTGAAAAGCAAATTGCTCTCAGGTTTTTGAAATTTTGAATATTCAGACCAGAGAAAAATAAAACTATCTGGGCAAAGTAAGTCCAAATGACCTGAATAAACAGTATTTTTTTCCTACATGTGTGATATATATATATATACACACACACATATATATGTATAAAACTTATGCATGCTATTTTTAAAATATATTTAAGAGGATTTTTAAGTGAATTATTGCTATTTGGCAGACATAACAAAAATTATGGTTAATAATGAAAAATGGAATAGATGGCAGATAAGTTACCTTTCTACTACCTTGTGTTAATAAAATATTATTAATAAAAGCAACCATATGTTATCTTATTTAATCCTCACAACAGCCTAGTTAGGTAGATACTATTATCTTCCCTTTGCAGATGGGGACTCTGAGATTCACAGAGATCACATATTTGGCCCAAGGACACATGGTCATTGAGTGATGGGTCAGGACTCAAATCCAGGTCTGTCAGACTTAAAAGGTTATTATTTTGTCACTGTGCTGCATCACCCTGGGAAAGATTTTTAAAAAGAGACAGAGAAAGAAAAAGAGAAGTCCATCTAGGCCTTAGAATTTTGTTATGGCCCCTGAGACACACGTGAAGAGGGTTCGACAATAAATGATTTAACAGTGAAGAATTATGGGGAGAGCTGGGATGACTTAAGGTGGGGCATTGGAGATGGGAGGCAATACATTCCCACTTCGCCTGTCTTTTCAATAAAGGATGCTTAAAGACTTGTTGGGACTTCCCTGGCTGTCCAGTGGTTAAGACTCCGCGCTTCTACTGCAGGGGGCGCAGGTTCAAACCCTGGTGGGGGAACTAAGATCCCGCATGCCGTGCGGAGCGGCCATAAAAAGATACCTAAAGACTTGTTGCATAAGTCTTTATTCTTTAATAACTGTTTCCCTCTGGGATGGTAGTGTTTCCTGGGCAACAGGACCTCAGTGTCGGGAGCCTGCAATGCCAAGTCCATGAGGATGGAGAGAGAGAGTGAGGAACAGTGCTCTTGGCATAGATTATGCCAACTGTGGGGAAGGACGCTGTCACAGCAGCGTGCATGCTGCAAGAGATAGTTTATGGAATTAACTGCATAGAACCCGTTACTGCAAAACGTGATATATCGATAGAAAAGGCCACTTACTTATGTCCTATACAGGTTTATTTTGGAAACTAAAAATTTGTTTGCAGATTCCATGTATCGTCTGCCTTACCTTATCTTTCCCATAAGATCTTAAGTCCTCAACTCCTCTGTGGTCGCCACTGATGCTGAGGCTCTGAACACCTCATCAATCACCCCTGTGTCTGGGTGATTTTTACCTTCGTCCTCCGGAAGGTACCACAGGAAGAAGTGATTCTTGAACTGCTGTCATTCATTTACTATCAATCTTGAGTTTCCCTGTAAGCACAAAACACCTCTACTAAATGTGTTATTTTTTTTATTTTATTTTTTTTTTTGTGGTACGCGGGCCTCTCACTGTTGTGGCCTCTCCCGTTGCGGAGCACAGGCTCCAGACGCGCAGGCTCCAGACGCGCAGGCTCAGCGGCCATGGCTCACGGGCCCAGCCGGTCCGCGGCATGTGGGATCTTCCCGGACCGGGGCACGAACCTGTGTCCCCTGCATCGGCAGGCGGACTCTCAACCACTGCGCCACCAGGGAAGCCCTAAATGTGTTATTTAAATTTATCTATTTAATTAAAAGTGATGTGAGCTAAAGAAAATACTGTTTAAAAAGTAAACTTTTTATAACTCCTGTAAATGGAAAATTTATATTATTTCCCATAAATGAAGACAAAGAAAAGCCCACTGAATAGTATTAACATTTAAATTTATTTTAATGAAAAATAAAATATAGTCACTATGACTGGCTCACAGAATTCACATCTAAGAAAAATTTCTCCCTGAGAATAAGTGACTGTTCCTAGTTCCTCAGGAATATTCAATTTAGCATCATTAAGCTTAAGATAAAGTGCTGTGTCAATAAGATTATTTTGGTCTTGAATCCCACCTCATATTTGTACATAGAAAAGGCAGATTATATCCATTTAACTGTGCCTATGCTGATAGAATTAGACATTGAGAATCATACTTGACTTTTGTTCAACAAATTTTTGTGCACAAAGAAGACATGAGGAGAAATATCCAGAAAGTATTTTTCTAAATGTACCCAGTTAGTTGTTAGTTTCTGCAAAACAATGGCAAACTGCCTTACCCAGTGCACACAGCCGGCATCCCGTTTGAACACTATGAAGGGATACTTGCAAAGTATTTCTAAGTGTTTTCCTAAACTCTGTTTCATAAGGGACACAGCTGAGTTCATAACCAGGTCATTCAATTTAAAAAAAAATTTATACAATCGTTGGTTGGTAAAATGGACAAATGATGTTCATGGATTGTTCCCAGCACACTAACTGGAATGAGAAGGAGGCACCAAGGTCTAGGGAAAGGAAATCCTGTAGGCCATCTCTCCCCAACCCCCGTTTCCTTATTCCCCTCTTCTCTTCTTCCTTCCATCGCCTTGGTCTCCTGATTTAGCCCCCGTTTCCTTATTCCCCTCTTCTCTTCTTCCTTCCATCGCCTTGGCCTCCTGATTTAGGCTGCCTCTGCCTCATACAGGTTAGGACATCACCTGACATTACCTGGTGTTGCACCAGAACGTCCATACGCCATGTTGGAAAGCACTACTCTAAAGGAACACTTGGTACGCCTGAATCCTCCATCCCCGAGGCTAACAGACTTAACTAAAACTGATGTGCAGTACGAAGAGTAGCCCTTTCTCTGTGTTAACAATCAGAGCCCTGGAGGAAATGGCCTTTCAAGGTGAACCAGGGCCAGGAGCTGTTCCTGCCAGAGACAAGGCCCAGACCTGTTTCTCTCTCTGACTTCTCCTCTCTCTTCTTTCATGTGGCCGGAACACAGGAAGGATGGGGCAGCCCCCCACTTGGCAGAAGGTCTACACAGTCTACCATTCTTGCAGATTTCTGTCTCATATACCAAGGGGTATAGTGTCTCCCATTTCTTGGAAAGAGGGTCCTCTCTCCCCTGCCCCATCCCCTTTGAAAGGCAAGTTGTATCTAGAATAAGTCTCAGGACAATAATTTCTAAATCATGAGCTACATTACCATCACCTAAGGATATTTTACATAGAACTTCCCAGGCCTCATTCCAGAAATTTAATTAAGTAACCTGGGGGCAAGACCTGGGCATTTATATTTTAAAAGGCATTCAGGTTGGACTTCCCTGGTGGTGCAGTGGTTAAGAATCTGCCTGCCAATACAGGGTATACGGGTTTGAGACCTGGTCCGGGAAAATCCCACATGCTGCGGAGCAACTAAGCCCGTGCAACACAACTACTGAGCCTGCGCTCTGGAGCCCACGTGCCACAACTACTGAAGCCCGCACACCTAGAGCCCGTGCTCTGCAACAAGAGAAGCCACCGCAGTGAGAAGCCCGCACACCACAATGAAGAGTAGCCCCCGCTCGCTGCAACTAGAGAAAGCCCGCGTGCAGCAACAAAGACCCAACGCAGCCATAAATTAACTAATTAATATTTTGAAAAAGGCATTCAGGTTTGAGGAACAGCTAGGTTTGGAACCACTGGTCTGGGGCAAATAAGGAAGTGCCTTGGGTCTGTCTGCCTTATACAGGCAAGGGAGTCCCCGAGGTACCACGCCCTGCAGTGCAGCTCTGCAGCGGTCTGGGCCAAACTCAGCTGAGAATGAAGGGCCTTTGGCCTCTTCTCATTCTTTGCATGTATGTTTCACCTGGTAAACTCTTGTGATGGTAAATCGTGTGTCAAGAAAAGGATTTGCAGGCAGGGACCACCTGCTCACCTTTTTCTCTCTTTTCATGCCCAAACATGTCAGTAGCCTACAGAGGGGTTTGGCGGGCAGTGGAACAGTATTGAGGGAAATTAGCCATTTCTCTCAGTCAAGCACCCACATGCAACAGCTACTGTACTGTCGTTTATTTTCTTAAAAATGGTAGGGGAGGGAGGGCCTACCATAGAGAAGCCAGTGAAATCCCCATCGGAAAGTGTCTTTTGGCAAATCACTCCCAGCGCTCTTGTGTGTGTGTGAAGAAACACACAGTGCATGAAAACAGTTGTACTCCTGAGATCCAGAGTCAAGGCAGAATGAAGGCTTCCGTCCTATTTCCTGCCCGGTCATTAGGTGCCAGGAGGTGAATCAATCATTTTTAGGAATTAGGCCAACTGTCCCTTCCTTACGAACTGCAAAAAATGCAATGGCTGACTCGACTGAGTGAAAATGGTAACTTCAGCTTTTGTCCAACAGAAGACAAAAGAAACAACATCTTTTTTTTTTTTGCGGTACGCGGGCCTCTCACTGTTGTGGCCTCTCCCGTTGCAGAGCACAGGCTCTGGACGCGCAGGATCAGCGGCCATGGCTCACGGGCCCAGCCGCTCTGCGGCATGTAGGATCCTCCTGGACCGGGGCACAAACCCGTGTCCCCTGCATCCGCAGGCGGACTCTCAACCACTGCGCCACCAGGGAAGCCCTGAAACAACATCTTTCATAATAATAGGGAAGAGCTGCTAGGAGGATGCTTTGGGGCCATGCTAAAGAATAAACAGTTTAATTCCATGGTTTATGCCTTTCTGGGCCTCTTATTTTTCTTGTTTAATGGCTAATTTTATTAATTTATGGGGTTTTTTTGTTTTTTGTTTTTTCGGTACGCGGGCCTCTCACTGTTGTGGCCTCTCCCGTTGCGGAGCACAGGCTACGGACGCGCAGGCTCAGCAGCCACGGCTCACGGGCCCAGCCGCTCTGCGGCATGTGGGATCTTCCCGGACCGGGGCACCAACCTGTGTCCCCTGCATAGGCAGGCGGACTCTCAACCACTGCGCCACCAGGGAAGCCCTGGGTTTTTATTTTTAAGATTGGTTCCAGATATTTAAAATGAACATGTCTGTCTATGTATATATCTGCATCATTTTAAAGCAATAAAAGAGTAATTGTTATTGTATACAGCAAATTTCTGCCTTTGTTATGAGGCCCACATTACCCAGAGCTTTTATGACATGCAGATAGGTCGGCAGACTTCACGTGTTTGTGGAAGTTAGTATTTGTTTTCACACTAAAATCTCTCTGACATAAAATCACATGTACTCTCTTGTAGTTCGCTCTACCTAAACTAACATTTTTTCCTGTATTTTTGCTATCTAAAACATAGTCTTCCTTCAGCAAGCATTTATTGAGCATCTACTACAATGTGAGATCCAAGCATAGAAACAGATCTTCTTCCTGACCCAAAGGGACGGATTCTTAAAAATCTGAAACGCTCATCCACACAGAAATGAGGCAATGGTCCAAGGTCATACAGTCCTAAGATTTCTTTAGAATTCCTCACTTTTACATTCACCCCACTCAGCATTTGAAAATGCTTGTTTTCAGCCTGTATTATTGTCCATATCACACAATGCAAATCAGGATCATGTAGATGTAGAAGGCGGGGTCCCCTTCTAAAATAATAAAATCACCCAATTATAATTAAGCAGAGTGGCCCACTTGCAAATTAATGTGTAAAAACTATGAACTGGAAGAGAATTTAATTATCATTTCCTTCTCTCTCCCTCACAAATGTAGAAACTGAGACCCAAATATTTGTGGGCCTTTCCTAAAATTACCCAGTGAGTTAATGGTTAAGTCCAAGAGTAACATCAGATACAATAATTTTTATACAAGTATTCTTTTCACTGTATTATAAAATATTTGATTTTTCACTTGATAAGTAAATGCTTTTATTGACAATTACTCTGGAGACTTCAGAGAATTTTAATGAGTAGTGAGCTTCAAATAGAAACCTAGTAAGAAAAACTGCTGAGTTCATGTGATATCTATGGTATTAAGTTCCCCTTCCTCAAAAGAAATACTCTGGGACCATAAAAAGCATAAAGATGTTGTCATACTTCCTCTCTGCAGGGCAAAGGGGACTTCATGAAAGAACAAAATTTTTTTAAATATCTGACCCACTTCCTTTCCCAAAGGCTGGTATCTTCAGGGAACTGAACTACTGCTTTGCTTTGAGCCATGAATTAGTAAGGATGTTGAAGGTGACAAAACTTTGTAAATATACTCAAATACATTGGATTGGACACTTTAAATGGGCGATTTTATGGCATGTCGATTATACCTCTTTATTGAGATATAAAATTGTTTAAATAAGAATGTGGTTGAGGGCTTCCCTGGTGGCGCAGTGGTTGAGAGTCCGCCTGCCAATGCAGGGGACACGGGTTCATGCTCCGGTCCAGGAAGATCCCACATGCCGCGGAGCGGCTGGGCCCGTGAGCCATGGCCGCTGAGCCTGCGCGTCCGGAGCCTGTGCTCCGCAACGGGAGAGGCCACAACAGTGAGAGGCCCCCGTACCCAAAAAAAAAAA